TCCTCAGGGTGCACATGGCTTTAGAAATAAACCTCACACTACCAGGAAGTTTAGACCAGGTGACAGAGGCACTCCTTCGTCTCTGACGCCCATGATTCAGAGCCAGATGCTCTCTGCTCCCTCTGTGGTGAGAAAGGTAACCTTTCCCTATGTTTTCTTTCCATCTTGCAGAACTTAACAGGAAGTTTTTTCCCTGGTACAGAAATTTTTAATGTAGCCTAAAAAGCTCTGAAATTATATAATTCACTCTTGTATTACAAATTTTGTATTTTGAGAGATCTTTCCATGAAACTCCATTGCATTTCCAGGGTGTTGCATTGGTTTTAATCCTGTTAAATTCCAAAATGTCTTTGATATAAGAGTTATGCAACAGAGTAGGGACTTTTTTTTCCTCAGCTGCCAATTCCTCTCTTCAGTTGTTTTTCAAACTGGGATGAATCTATAGGTATGAACTTCTACAAAGAGCCAGGTTAAGATTTGTCTTTGGGTAGCTAATGTAGTTAGACATTTTTGAGAAGAAGGAATGAGAAGTGGTCATTATCCATTATCTGCATGAAATATTTCAGAGAAAGAAACAGTTTCTGCCAAACACAAAAAGATGTTTGAGCTGAAGCCAAACAAGAAGGAAACAAGATCACCTTATAGCATTGCAAGATTGCTCTACTAATGATGTTATTTCAAGTAAAACTGGAATATATATATGAAGAAGTGCAGATGGTGCATGGGTTTTACATGGATTAGCGGTGTTGTTCTGGACAATGATTCACTGTCCCTTTTCTTGGCAGAAAATAAATTTTCCAGTCTTGGAAAGAAACATGTATGTATATTTTAAGAAATGTTTCTCTATGTGGAAAAAGAGCAAATTTGAGTGAAAATAGCATCCACTGGTGGAAAAGTTAACAGTCAGAATGAACACTTTAAAAAAAAAAAGATATATTCACACTACTATTCAAGGTGATGTATAACGTGGTGCAAATTACAGGTTATTCAGGGGTGTGAGGGCCTGAAAGTCAATACTGGATTCGGCATCACTGGGAGCTTGGCTCAGTGCTGTCTGCATAGTAGGATCAAGGCTTCAAGATGTGGATGATTTTAGACCCATAAGTTCAAAGAAGAGGTTTTGAGGGTATATTAATTGGACCTGCTTTCTTTTAGTTAGTCTGTAGAAATACGCTAGATATATCTAAGAATATGTTATCTTTTGAAGAATAAAGAATCAGCTGTTTATTGCAACCCTTGTCCTAGAGAAGCAGGTTTCTTACGTTACCATGAATCCAATCACAAGGGTTCAGAGCAAAAAGTTAAAACAATTTAGAATAGTATTTATTATTATTATCCATATGATAATATTATCCTTACTGGTGTCATGATTTTGACAAGCCAAATACTGTATTTAATACAAATACTGTATTTCCATTTAAGAAGCCAGAAATTGCTTCCACTCACTGCTCTGAAGCTCCTGGGTTTTGTCCAGTTTTCAAGATGATAGTGAAATTTCAGTCCCCCGCTTCTTCAGGACTGCACATTGCCCATCCTACATCTCTGCCTGGGCCTGTTTAATTTCAGTGGGAAAAATTCTTATCTGGGAAAAGGAGGAAGCATTCACCTGGTTACTGAGTTTGGATTTCTTTATTTTTTTGGTTTTTTTTCCTGTAAGACAGCTATATACAAGCATCTCAGACTTTTGGAGTGTCAGAATAAGCCTAGGGTAGAACTGGTGGGAAAAGAACAGGTCACTCAACAATTTATCATATGGACATCAGTATGATGTGCAAAAATTATGCTACTTACTACAGACACTGCATTTAAAGCATGTGGGTGTGCAGGCTTAAGACACCGCTACCTTATAAAATAAATAATGCAAAGTCCACTTAAATTAATGTTATTTCTGTTAAATAGCTACATCAGTTCATATCAAACTTCATGTCCAATGAAATCTTTCTAAAAACCACTGCTGGAAGGACACATGCATTTCTTGTACCCTAGGTTGTCTGCACAGGTCTCCACTGTCCTTAAAATGCCCACAGCAATTTAAATCATTTACATAAACAAAAATGGGTTTACAAGTAGGATACTGAAGTGTGTTTTCAAAGCTGCCCAGAACTCTTAACCATTAAAATGGACCTGACTGATGGTTTTGTGAAATTTTGATGGTGCTTTCTAATAAGTTACTTCTACTACTTTCATAAGAGTGTACAGACACACAAAAAAGAGGATTTCTCAGCACGAGTTACTCTTCTGTAAAGGTTATAGTAAACATGTCAATGCCTAATTAAGCAGAAAATTTTATCTGTATTGTGGGGGATGTGCAGCTGTCTGCTACTTCTGCTTCTCCTAGTAAATCCTTTTAGAAGGACAAAGGATATTGTGAGGAAGAAACTACTGTATATATCTTCCAAAGGAAAAAATTACCCTCTGGTGAAAAATGGGTTAATAGTGTTCAAAGAATTGGTGCTGAAATGGAGAATCAAATTTGCACTGACCCAAAACTGTGTGAATGCTGTTTGTTGTCTGTTTTGTCTGATTCCTTCATTGGATTCCCTCCTTATTTTTGTTTTGCTCGATGTAATATGCTTGGCACTGTGATACATCCTGGCAAGGGGCCAGCATCGCTACCTACGCTGTACAGTATCTCTAACACCGCGAGAACCATGTCAGTCCTGCTCATCAGTTTGTGCTGCTTGTTTAACAAGGTTACTACTCATGATGTGTAGGAGCTTTTGCCGCCTCCATGTCCCTCCATTCTCCTTGTCCCCTTGAAAAACATACGAGCTTGGAAAGGGGTACATGGAAAGTATTATCTGGTTATTAGGGAAAAAGTTTAGGGAGGAGAAAAAAAAATTTTGTTCTTCGTGTTGTCTTTGCTGCCTGCCTCAGTCTGATCATCTGTAAATGGGGCTACTAATATTTGCTGTACCCCAACACACTAAAAGGCTTATTTTTTAGTATTTAACACTTCTTATTTAATATTCAGCTTCTTTGCTGAAAGCATCTGCTGAAGAGCACAGTGTTCCTACTACTATGTGATTATTATTTCGTTAGGCTAAAATGACGTCCAGGTGATTTGCTCAGAGCCACTGCTGTTATCTTTGCCTCTGGGTTGTGAAGCTGCCTGGTATCACCCCTGGAGTAAGCCAAGCCCAGCTCTAAGCCAGTGTGATCTGTGTAGGTCCTAAGACCGTGGGAAGGGCATAGGAAAGATGACTCATGTGGGTTTCTTAGCCATCATTTCCCTCTTATACTGCAGCTTCATCCAGGAAACAGTTCCTCTAATTCTGGTTCATCTCTGGCTTGATGGTAAACATGTGTTGAAAGGGGTGAGATACACATGCAGATAGATTGAAAATTTGAAACACATATCTGAAGAAAAACTGTGGAAGTCTTTGTCCATATATTAATAAAAATGCTTCTACCTTTTTGGCCCATCCCTTTTCATTTGCTAAAAGGATATCATTTGTGCAGGAGTACCAAATTCAAGGGAGCAAAATAAGCCAAGTTCTCAAAGACCCATAAAATGGCTTTTCTCAGAAAATGGGAAGGAATTGGATTTTAAACAAATAACACTCTTAGGCTTGTTTACCTTGTGCTTTCTGAGCTTTTAGGGTTACTTCACAATTATGAGTACTAGAATTTTATTTTATTTTTGCTTAGTTTTTCTTAAGCGCAGCTTTGATTTGGGGGTTTTGGTATTATTTTGTTTTTACATACTTACCTGATACAAAAAGCTAGATCTTAAGGAAACACGACAAAGTACTCCTGAGACTGCAGTGCTGTCACTAGGGTTAGCAGCTCTGCGTTTGCACCTAACTAGAAGAGCTCATCAATATATCTCCTGCGAAGACCTGTGCTTCTGAAATCAGCATTTAGTTTTGACGAGTGGCTGTCAATAACAGTGAATTGTTTCAATATCTTCTTGCATTGTGCATAACAGCTTTGCAGTGGCTGTTAAAAAAATTACACTGAGGTTTTGTAAAACATGCCTGAACCACTCCCTTCTTGTAGGGGTCTAAGAGTGAATTGATGACTATGTTGAGTCATTGTGAATTTATCACTGACTGCAATGGAGCCAGTTCACCCTTAAAAAACCTCTTCTCTAATTCTTCAGTCTGTTCTTAACCAGATTATCTCCTGTAACTTAGGCAGAATTACTGCTGATATAAGGCCAGAAAAAAACCCTAACTGAATTCCTTAATTAATTTTAAAATTTACAGCTCTTCCAGTATCAATCTTATCTTAAGTATTCATCTTATTAATTAAATAGTTAATTTGTCAAAGAAAATCTTTCTGGATTTGTTCTACTTTTCCAGTTTTACAGTTAACTTCGATCTACCTCTGTCACATCCTAATACTCTTCTGTAACTTCCAAGGGTTCTTGCCCTGAAATTTATGGATTTGTTTTTACTAAAGCACAATTTGCCTTTATGGTACACAGTACATTACTTTTATAAAGAAAAGAGTTCCACTTTTGCCTATTAGCACTTTCAGATGTTGTATTTTGACATATAAATTATTTGTGTACACTCTAAAGTGCATTTTTAGGTGATCAAATAGCAAAAGGTTACTGTACCTGGATGATGCTATGAACCAGGAAGATTATGGCAGTTATTTTTTCTTCTGTTCTTTGCCAATTCTACCCTTTCTTTCACTGAGGCTAAAAACAATCTGATAGAATTGAAGCTTTTAGTATAAACTTTAAATTCTTACATATGAATTTTCCAACTGTCCCATTACAGGACAGTTAGAATTATACTCCCATGACAGGAAAATTATTAACTCAGAATCTCTGGCAGTTATAAAGAATTATGATCATCTGCCAACAAAATCCAGCAACCTTCACAAAAAGAGATATCATTTGGCTTTTTTCACTTCCAGAACTAACAGGCAATAAAGTTGTAGATTAAAACGAAGTCCGGTGAAGAAAACACACAGTGAAACTAGAAAGCTCGAACCGTAGTATTCTCCTTTAACAAGTTATTTCATATATTGACATTACATTTCAGGTTATGTCCAAGAGGAAGATTTAAAGGAAGAGGAAGATATAAAGGAGGAGGAAGAAGATGATGATGACAACAACTCAACTGCTCAGCTCCAGGGCAGCAACGACACTGGCACGGATGAGGAACACGAAGTGGGTCCTGAGCAGAAAGGGAACTTCAGTTACCAGAATTCCCCTGTCAGTCATATATCTAACCAGGATGCAGAAAATGAATCACTACTAAGCGATGGTAGTGACCATGTGGCAGATATTAAAAGCATTTGCTCTAGAGAGCCACAGGACCCAAAAAGCAGCGCCCATCCCAAAGCCCAGAACGAAGCACACGATTGCATGGATAAAATGACAGCGGTCTATGCCAACATACTGTCAGACTCTTATTGGACAGGCTTAGGGCTGGGTTTCAAGTTGTCTAACTCTGAAAAGAGGAGTTGTGACAACAGAAATGGAGGGAACAAAGCTGATTTTGATTGGCACCAAGACGCACTGTCAAAAAGCTTACAGCAGAATTTACCTTCCAGACCCGTCTCAAAACCCAACCTGTTCAGCTCGGTCCAGCTGTACAGACAGAGCAGCAAAATGTGTGGAACTGTGTTCACGGGCGCCAGCCGGTTTCGGTGCCGGCAGTGCAGCGCTGCCTATGACACCTTGGTAGAACTAACGGTTCATATGAATGAGACAGGTCACTACCAAGATGACAACCATAAAAAGGACAAGCACAGACCTACCAGCTACTCAAAGCCCAGAAAAAGGGCTTTCCAGGACATGGACAAGGAAGATGCACAAAAAGTTCTGAAATGTATGTTCTGTGGTGACTCTTTTGATTCCCTTCAAGATCTGAGTGTTCATATGATAAAAACAAAACATTACCAAAAAGTGCCTTTGAAGGAGCCGGTACCAACCATTTCTTCAAAAATGGTCACTCCAGCAAAGAAACGTGTGTTTGATGTTAACAGGCCTTGTTCCCCCGACTCCACGACAGGGTCTTTCTCAGATACTTTTTCTCCTCAGAAGAACGCGAACCTGCAGTTATCATCTAACAACCGCTACGGCTACCAGAATGGTGCCAGCTATACGTGGCAGTTTGAGGCCTGCAAATCCCAGATTTTGAAGTGTATGGAATGTGGAAGTTCCCATGATACCTTACAGCAGCTCACGACCCACATGATGGTCACTGGCCATTTCTTGAAAGTCACAAGTTCAGCTTCAAAGAAAGGAAAGCAACTTGTTCTGGATCCTTTAGCTGTGGAAAAAATGCAATCACTGTCTGAAGCACCAGCCAATGACAGCCTGGTTTCAAAATCAACCAGTAAGTCATCTGCAGAATGCATAGCTCCCGCCTCTGAACTAAAAAAAGAGGGTAAAAAAGATAAAGCTGATGATGTAAACAAAGATGAGAAAGCAGTAAAAAATGAAGATTATGAAGACACTCTTCAGAAACCACTGGATCCCACAATGAAATACCAGTACCTCAGAGAAGAAGATTTAGAAGATGGTTCAAAGGGTGGTGGGGACATTTTAAAGTCCTTGGAGAACACTGTCACAACGGCTATCAATAAAGCTCAAAATGGAGCACCCAGCTGGAGTGCATATCCCAGCATCCATGCAGCTTATCAGCTCTCAGAAGGAACTAAGCCGTCTTTGCCTGTGGGTTCCCAAGTACTGCAAATCAGGCCAACAATCACCAATAAATTGAGGCCCATAGCTCCCAAGTGGAAGGTCATGCCTCTGGTCCCTATCTCAGCAAATGTGGCCCAGTGCACTCAAGTGAAGAAGGAAACTGATGACAAGGAGGAGGTGCAAAAGGACTATGCTAAAGAGGGCATCCAGTCTGAGCCTGCCTCACTCAGCCAGAGTGAGAGGGAGCCTCTCCTCAAATCTGAAGCCTCTGTGGAGCCAAAAAAGACAGAACCATGTCCCTTGAAAGAAGAAGACAAAATTAAAGAGGACAGCGGAAAAGAAAAAACAGTCCTCAAGGAACCAACAGCAGCTTCTCTTAGTAATGGTTGTGCTGCTGCCAACCATTCGTCTGAACTGCCTTGTGTCAACCCTCTCAGTGCGCTGCAGTCAGTACTGAATAATCATTTGGGCAAAGCCACTGAGCCTTTACAGCCTCAATCCAACTCCGGCCCCAGCTCTAGCACAATTTCTGTGTTCCACAAACCTAGTCTGAATATGATGGAGAAGCCAGTTTTATCTCCTGCTCCAACCCCACCAAGGCCTGCAAGTGTATCCAGGCACTATTTGTTTGAAAACAATGATCAGCCTATTGACCTGACCAAATCCAAAGGCAAGAAGGCTGAGTCAGCTCAAGCACAATCTTGTACTTCTCCACCTCAGAAACATGCTCTGTCTGACATTGCTGACATGGTCAAAGTTCTTCCCAAAGCTACTACACCAAAACCTGCTGCATCTTCAAGGATCCCATCTATGAAATTGGAAATAGATGTCCGACGCTTTGAGGATGTCTCAACAGAAGTCTCCACTCTGCATAAAAGGAAGGGCAGACAGTCAAACTGGAACCCTCAGCATCTTCTCATTTTGCAAGCTCAGTTTGCTTCCAGCCTCTTCCAGACATCTGAAGGTAAATATTTATTATCAGATCTAGGCCCACAAGAGCGCATGCAGATTTCAAAATTTACTGGACTGTCAATGACCACCATCAGCCATTGGTTGGCAAATGTCAAGTATCAACTTAGGAAAACCGGAGGAACAAAGTTTTTGAAAAACATGGACAAAGGACATCCAGTCTTTTATTGCAGCGACTGTGCGTCTCAGTTTCGAACCCCATCTACTTATATTAGCCACTTAGAATCTCATCTAGGTTTCCAAATGAAAGACATGAACAGGCTGGCTGTGGAGCAGCAAACCAAGGTAGAGCAAGAAATCTCCAGAGTTTCAGTTCAAAGATCTCCTGAAACAATAGCTGGAGAAGAGGACACAGACTCTAAGTTCAAATGTAAGTTGTGCTGTCGGACATTTGCGAGCAAACATGCAGTAAAACTTCATCTAAGCAAAACACACAGCAAGTCACCAGAACACCATTCACAATTTGTAGCAGAAGTGGATGAAGAATAACTCTTAAGGTATGCATGCTCTATAGTGAGTTTTAATTACATCATTTTATGGAGGCTTCGTAAGACATTCATACTTTCTTAAATGTAGGAAAACAGTATAAAATGCGTAATGTACTCCTGCTTCATTAATCTAATTGCATGTACATATCCATTTTATAATGTTTTCAAGTAGAGAGCTCGGTAAATGCATAACCACCTTGCCCTATATAGAAAAGTTGATGCTTATTAATATTTTCAAAATAGCTGTTTTCCCAGCTCTCGCTCTCTTTTTTGTTTCTAAGAATTAATCGTTTCACATCCTATGCACTTCAATGTGGAATGCAACAACTAAATTCTACTCTTTACAATGATAATGGAAAAAGCAGGAAAAAGGCACTGAAAACCAAAAGATTGTTACCTCTCAGTGTTAACACACAGTAAATCTGATTTTGATGGGGGAAAAGACGACAACTCAAATGTCAAATTAACAAAATCTTAATTATTCCAAGTTTCTTATAATCTCAAACCCAGCTCAAGAATCTACAAATAACTCCAAAAAGTGTGCATCTAGAAGTTCGGTTATTCTTTTGTTGATATTTGGATATTCAGTTTTGTAAAATATTTTAATGTTTTACACTTACTTAAACACTTACTATTGCGAGTGGCCTTTTTTGTCGCATCATTTTAACCTATCTCTCTATCATTCCTTTTTTAATCTTTAAGATGTTCAATTATATTTGGTTTCATGTAGGTGAGAGTGCTAGTCAATCCATAAACATCACTGACTTCAGTGCAAGTTTTCCTATAACCTGGGGGAGGGGGGGGGGGTTAATGCTTAATTGAGAAAGCAGCTAGGTTTTTTTACAAGCTTACTATTTCAAAGACCTGTTAGTAGAATACTTCTACATTAGTGTTGCTATTTTTTGCTGAAAGATACACCAACCGAAGTACTGCCACAACCAATGTTTATAACATGTAATGTAATATTCAGATGACACACAATTTTTGCATTTTTAATTTTACTTGATTCACAAACTTGAATATTCTTGATTTAAATAAATATGCAGAACATCAACTAAAAGTCCAAATAGAAGTTTTTTGTTCTAATGAGTTTATTTCCAGGAAGGCTGTGTTAGTCATTCCCAACAATTTCTCCATCAGACTCAGGCTCTGCTTCTGTTCACAGAATAATCATGTGCAGATTCAGATTTTCTCCAATGTGTTCATTACTTGAATAACATTCGGAAAATGAATTCGTCAGACAGTCAAAATTAAAGATGTGTTGTGAGTTGTCACTTACGCCACCTGCTATTGTGGCTATTCTCTGGCTAATTGAGGGTGCAGGCACTTTGAGGATGAATACCCGTTTGTGTGAAGATTTCACATTTGTTTGCTGCAAATATTCATGAAGCTTTAAGAAACACTTTCTGTGTTCAGAGCCAGCACAAGGACTATGCATCACTTAAGCTCCATTAAAAAGGCTACTTTTGAATAATTTAAACCACTAATCAAAGGGTTACTTTGGGATGGGTAATAGAAGCTATTACTATAGAGTATAACGTCAGTATTCAAGTGCAATAAGATTTAAGTTTTGCATACATCTTGTACGTGCTGTCTGTGTTTGACTAGATTTATGCTGTGTCCATATTTTAGCCAACAAAATTCTGTCTAACTCAAAAGGAGTTTGTTTTCTAAATAGGGCTAATACCCTTAATTTTCTGGTTTAGCATTTTTAAACCAACATTAGAACTCAACAAATAAATGTTCTTTGTTTACCTGACCATTCAAAATCAACATACCTGACAAAATATCAGAAAACTACAAGACATTGGTTACGAAAAATATACCATACTTTGTTTCCTTCCCCACCAGTTAATGACTATTAAGATTCTGACATTCAGTTTTCACACAAGAGATATTAGAGCAAAGCAATAATTTGGGTACTATCAGACAAAAGCTATCTGCCAGATATATTAATGTAACAGTTATTTTGGCACATTCATGGCTTAATACATGACACATGTTTCAGATTTGGTCTTAAAAGCACCATGTTATTACTAAGAGGCAAACCAAACACCCGCCTTTATAAACATGTTACTGTTTCTGAGGATTTGGGGAACAAATACAAGGAAAAAAAGATCTCCAAGGGAAAAAAAAGTGGTTTCTGCATTGTAATAACCTGCACAGACACATCGTGGGTATTATTCAGGTGATATGTAACTACATAAATAAGGTACTGTCCTTCCTGCCTTTGGGTACCGAGAAATTGCTGTCCTCTTAATACTCATCCATTTCTAATTTATATCAAGATGCAGGTTGTATCCTACCTTTGAAAAAATATATTTAAATTGCAATGACAGAGTGATAGCACTGTTATCTGGAACTATAATTTTAGTTGGTATGCATGATAGCACAAATTGTATGAAATGATGGGGTATTTTGGATAGCATTGTAAAGATTTTATTACAGTTTTGGAGCTGTAAGCCTACTGAAGTTCTGACTATGTTAGAAGCGTGCAGGCCAGAGTTTATTCATATGGTTTCTTCCTGAGATCTGCAAGGAGACTAAATCAAATAACAGGGATTTTCAGACTTTACTTATTCTTACCATGTTATTTTTAAGATTCAGTATACATTTGAATAATAACATAGAGAAGAGCACAGTATTTAGAAACAAGAAATATAAAGCATACTGAGATTCTTAGTATGCATTTGCGTTGACTTCTTCTAGGCAATATTGTAGTGAAATAGAAATAAAAATAGAGAAAATATATGGAAATAAATGGAAATAAAACAGTGGAAAGTACTTGAAGTATAGAAATACATAAAATACTTTCTCTATTTCAATGAAATTTACCATTAAAGGTTATATTTTAAAATGTTAGCTATCATTAAAAATATAAATGAATAATCTGGGTTACTACTGTAGAAAAATGCGTTATGTATATGGATTTATTTTTAAGACCTCCGTGAGGCTGTTTATAAGAAATTTGCTATAAATTCTTCTTAAATGTAAAGACGTATATGTCTGTTTTATATTCATCTTTGGTGTTTTCTTGAATTCTTCTAACTGATATGGGTTTAGTAATATAATGTAAAATTATGTGTAATATACAACAATCAGACGTCTCTATTCTCTTTCATTTAACCCACTTCAAATTTGGTTTTATTGCTATTCTTCAAAGAAAACCCATGAACATTAGGGAACATGGCTTTAATTAGAAGCAATTTGTATGTTGACTTATACCTTTGAAGAACATTTGTTCATTTTTTCAATTGAATTAGAATTTTTATGTTGTCCTGAGAAAAAATACCAGTCAGAATTGTATTTCTCACTTTAAAGTCAGGTGAGATTGGCTATAAACTGGACAGTAACTGAGGCTCTCTGTGGTCTTATCTACAACTTTTTATAGAAATAAGTCTCTATAGAGTCAAATTTACCAACTTGATTGGGGAGATTTCTTTTTCAAAAGACCCTGATAAGTAAACAAGCAGCTACCTGAGATGAACTAATTTGAAAGTAAGGCTGCTGCAAAACAAAAAAATGACTCATAATGATAAACAGTTTTTCTCTCTGTTTCCTCCTTTGTCTTTTTTTAACCATCAAGTTTAAAGCTTCTACAGTGCTTTTTTTCTACTTTATAGGAGACAACTGACATTCTGTGGTAAATGGAAGAAAGAGCAGAGCAGAACTGAAAATCCTCTAATGCACTGACACTAACTTGCCCTCTATTGTTGAAAATGAGCAGGCAATCATGATTGTTCATCAAATGGCTCCTAATGCAGTTAAAGCATTCAGCTATAATTTCTCCTTGCATTTATAATTACTGTCATAGACTGCACACCTCAGTGAGCAGATTAAAGCTATAAACTATTTAGCCGTAGCTTTAAGATGAGGAACTTGATTTGTCTGGCAGCAGTTATTTGTTAGAGAGCTTGACACTTCACATAAAAATGACTCAACTTGATGAAGAACAATGCAGTTTAAGCAATGCAGTGATTTTAAATCAGTCATTATACCACGCCCTGTAAGAATTGCAAAGCAATTTGTTAAATGATATATAGGACACGTAGATAACTGTATGTGTTAAGTATACCAAAATAGAAGATTTTTTTCTTCTGTGGATTTTATTTTCTCATCCCTCTGAAACAGTAGGAGCTGCTCTGAGCATCATGTTCCACTATTAGCCAATATTGGTGTTACATGGGCAAGGACAATTGCGTGAATTAGGAGTCCAAAACTATATTTTAGAGAATTTAGCTTGCTCTTCATCTTTCATTTCTTGTTAGCAACAAACATTAAAAACTGAAAGACCCTTTCAGGAGAATCAGACACGCTGGGACGTAGCTGCCTGCAGTTGTGTCCACCACGATTTTATAAACAGAGTTTACCAACAAAACGGAGGGTTCTGCTCACCACATCATCCACCAGAAAGAGAGGGTTCATTGCAATGGAAGCCTTCATTATTGAGTTCAAATGGGACTTTTTTCTGACAACTTCTTTTTGGAAAATGATGACTTCTCAATGGTAAAAAAATTCTGTGGGGAAGTCCCATTTTAGGATAGACTTTTGTTGGGATAAACTGGGTCAAATTGCTGAACACCATAAGAGGAGACAGGGGAACAGAAAAGGAACAGGTTGGCCTTTCCACTGCGCTGCAGGAGAGACACAGAGCCCATCCTCAGCAAGGAATGACCGCTAACCCATCACTCCTCCCTCAAAATAGTCCTGTTCTGGTGAAGCCTCAGTTCCCCTAATCCTTTGACATTTATCACTGTTTCTCTGAAGTGGTAGATAAGGATATTTTTTTAATTTAGCATTTTTAAATCTTCAAAATTTTCCTGGATAGCATTTTTTCAGTCTAGCAATAGTCCTTGTAAAACCAGTAATAGTGTGTTCTTGGCTTCCCTGAGAGCAGGGTCAGGCCAGATGATACATCAAAATGTGTCAGCACAGATATACCAGTGCAGATTTACTTGCTTTTTATGAATACTACAGGTTGCTATTAAGATCAGTATTATTTAACATTGCATTAGTGCATC